TAAGAGTTGTATTGCTGGTAATTTTTTTAAGAAATGTATTGATAGTAAGTTTTTTTAAAGAAATATATTGCTAGCAATTTTTTAAAGAAATATATTGCTGGTAATTTTTTAAAGAAATGTATTGCTGGTAATTTAAGTCTTAATATTGAGATACAAGAAAACAAAAGTTTTGAAACAATTTATTCTGATTCAAAGAAACAAAGATTCTCAACTAAAACAAAGGCTCATGAACCATCTAATTAATCCGTTTCCTTTATATTATTTAGATGGTCAATGGTATCTATGATTCATTGATTTATACAGAGGTATGCAAAAGTAGGTATACAATGATATAATACAAAACGTGAGCACAAAACGTATTGTATTGATTATACAGACTTTAATAACCTATCAACTTACTGTTAACCTACTTTTGCAGGGTTCTGTATAAATCACTTTTTGCTCAATACGTTCTCATATTAAAAACTAGCAGTAGAGCCCGGCGTTGCCCGGGGAAGTAACAGTAAGAGATAGATCAAGTATCGACCATCATAAAGACTGAAAAATAAAATTGACAAAGATTATTGCTTAAGGTTGACGGACACGCATGTCTTAATTATTATTATTTTTTTTTTTTTACGAATTGGTCAAACCCAAACTCAAAACATTGTTTTCAATCGTTATGAGTCTACCGATTGAATAGAATTTTATTATAAACAATTGTCTTGTAAGTGGAATTTTTAAAGCATTTCTGAATGTAAAAATAAAGAAAAAGTGTGCAAGACAATACGAAACACTACCTGCCCAAAAAAAGTGAAGTTTTGTTGAAATCGGTTGAAAAATGTAGGAAATCCGATCCCATATATAAACGAACACACACACACACACACACACACACACACACACACACACACACACACACACACACACACACACACACACAACCTGGGTTTTATAATAAGTATAACTCGATATGAGTTGTCCCCCTTTCGTTCTGGCGACAGAATCGTGTTTATCGTGTTTTCAAATTGATTTCGTGCAAAAACAATTGTATTTTTCCAATTTTTGGCGCTGTCAGAACCACTGCAAAGTAATTTTACGTAGTCCTGTGAAGTTTTGTTGAAATCGGTTGAAAAATGTAGGAAATCCGATCCAATATATGAACGTACACACACACACACACACACGCACACACAATCTGCGTTTTATAATAAGTAAGATTTTATATGATTAATATGATAGTGGTTCGATAGTCAGGGGTGAGGAATTAAAGCAAGTGTTGTTGAAAGAATTGAGCTTTTATTATTGTTATTGCTAATATTATTTTTAATATTTCATGCATTTGTACGTTTCCACCAGATATTTTTGGGAGGTTGAGGATGGGGGGGGGTAATTCCTGCGGACTAAATGTCGACAAGTTTCTCAAATTTCCTGCACCATTCCATAGATCCTTTCAGATCCAGAAAGTCTGGTTTTCTATACAGTCTCAACCCTCACCCGGATATACAATTCATTTATTGTCAATGCCAGTGTTTTGGGTAAAATTCACAGTGCAATAGTTTTATGGGCCCGATTCTAACATTTATATTCCATGTCAAAAAGCACCGGCAAGGTCCTGGTATTTCTTTAATTTCTCATTCGCCTCTACTCTGTTCGACGCCATAACTATGTCCTAAGATCTTTATTTATTTTCTTTATTTATGTAATTTTTATTCATTTATTTGTAATTATCAGACGCCATCTTTACGTGAATAAGATGGTCGGTTTAGGTGTCGAAATCCAAAGGTATTTTGTGAATTTTTGTTTTCCAGTAATAACATTAATAACAATTCATTGACTAAGTAACTCCAAAATCATGCGCCCTTTTGACACATGAGTTCTTTCTTATTTTTTTTTAAATTTACCAAAAATCAGAGAATAATTCAATTTCAACATTCATTAACGAATGAACTTTACATTGAATGTTTCTTTTTTATTTGTAAATTTTATGGAAGTATTTTTCCAGCTTAGTTATCCCACCTGTTTATCTGTGTCTAATCCATACGAGTGAATTTTGCCTCTTCTTAATTTTAACATTTTTATAAAGCTAAATCCACGAAGGTGTCATCATTAGATAAAAATGATTGAATATCGACTTAAAATGATTTAATATCGACTGGGAACATATTGAAAATGTGATGCAAAATTTTCAGAAAACAATAAAGAAACGTAAAAATTATTTGGTGCTACTTAAGTATGTGATCTACGTGCATGATTCTTCTAAAATCTGTGATCTACATTATTGAAAATGAACTACATGCACAACTTTACTTAGCGCCTGAGTAGCACACAGTGAATATAGGCTTCCAGTGGATCTTGTATATAAACCAGACATTTTTTAAGTATTTCACCCCAAGTAAGTTGGGAGTGCCACTAGCCGGCAAGGGGTTATAGAGAGTGAATTAAGAGTAAAGAGGGGGGGTGAGGATAAAGAGAAGAGCGAGGATCGGGATCAAGGTATCAGAAGATATCGATTGACATTGCATTTAAATATTTGAAGATTATAGCTATCAGGGAAGCAAGTAAGAGGAAGGGACTTCCAATGTCGAGAAGTTCGAGAGAAGAAGCTGTTGGAGTAGAAGAGGCGGTTACATTTAAATGTTTCGACACTAAAAGGCTGGGACCGAAATGCCAACCTAGTAGCACGCTTAAATTCATGGAGTTGGGGTACCAGTGAAAGTAGCTCGTCAGAGCAAATGCCATGAAAATATATGTAGAAAAGACAAAGGGAAGCCACATCAAGTCTGTGAGAAGGTGACTGGAGTGGAAATGCCAGGTCAGGACCGATTCCATTGCATATTTGTCTTTGGATTTTGTTGAAAATATCGAGATGAACAGCGGGGACACCAGACCATATATGGCAACAGTATTCAATGTAAGGACGAATGGTAGATTTGTACATTTGAAGGATGGAACCTTGCGGTTGATGTGGCTATTGAGTCAATATAGTTGTTCCACCTCGGGTCAGTAGAAAACGTGAGACCAAGATGGCGCAGAGACGCTCTCGTGAAGTTGAGCATCCGCCATGCTGATAGAAGGCAGGGTGGTTTCACTATGGTCGGTAAATGAGAGCAGTTTCGTTTTGGAGGCATTAAAGTTTACAAGCCATTTCCTGCCCCAGTCAACCACAGATTGGGGATCCTTTTCGAGGTCAACAGCCAGATTAACTTTGTCAACAATGCCGGATTTACTATTGAGATAGGAGTAAATGGTAGTGTCGTCTTCGTAGATGCCTACTTGAGAACTGATTACATCAGAAGATCGTTGATGAAGATTAAAAACAGTGTAGAACCCAAGATAGATCCTTGAGGAACACCAGCGTTCGTATGAAAGGAACTGGAGGAGAACCTGTTTAGGACGACTTTCATTTCACGGTTTGACAAGAATGATTTTATTAAATCGTCTTGTAATTCCATATCCCTGAAACTTACGAAGAAGGCCAGCATGCCAAACCCTATCAAATGCGTTAGAGATATTCAGAGCCACAGCTCGAGCTTCGCAGTTATTATCAAGAGCTTGGTAGACCGGGCAAAGCAGAAATCATATTGTTTACCAGAGAGTAGGCCATGGGATGTAAGGTGCTTAACCACTCCGGCATTGATTAAAGCCTCGAAGACTTTGCCAAAGAATGATAAGAGACTGATAGGACGGTAGCTAGATGGGTCGAACAGTCTCTAGAGTTCTTGAAAACAGGGACAACAGATGAGGACTTCCAAACGGATGGAAAGCAAGAATCAGTGAGGCAATAGTTATATAGTTTGGAGAGAACTGGAGCTAGTTCAGGAGTACATAGTTAGTACTAAGGCTGGTATCTCGTCACCACTACTTGCTTTATGAGAGTCTAATTCGATGGGGTTATGCTCATCTCACTCTATAGAGCCTCAGTTCTAGGGGAGAAGGTTCGACCCTCGCTCACAACTTCTACAAGTCACGCCGACGTTCCAGATCTAACTCACACGGGAGGATTCACGCCGACGTTCCAGATCTAACTCACACGGGAGGACAACTACAATTTGCTGGTATCACCGTAAATTCGGTCAGACCGCTAGGCATTGTACCAAGACATGCAATTTTAAACCCCAGTTAGTATCTACACCTAACCAGAAAGCGGGAAACGGCAGTCCCAACAGCACATGAAGACGGCGTCTGTTGTTGGTGGAGAGAAAGCCAAACGTTTTTTTTACGTCCGAGACAGAAATTCTGACGAATTATTTCTGGTCGACACAGGCGCCTAAGTCAGCGTAATTCCACCCAGACCAGATTTTCCTACCGAAAGATCTTCATACACTTTACGCGCAGCGAATGGTTTCCAAATATAAACCTTTGGTCAAGTGTCTATGACTCGAAACATTGGATTAAAGAGAATGTTCCAATGGTTTTTTACTGTAGCGGAAGTTAAATTTCCCATACCCGGCGTAGATTTCCTAGCACATTAGAAGCTAGCCATGGATATGTCGAACCACTTACTTATAGACCAGACAACTAAACTTACTAATGCAGGGATAACGTCCACCCTTACTTTAACCAAATTATGTGTCGCTCTACCAGAAACTAATCCACTCCAAGACGTACTGGATAAGTTTCCCTCATATATCCAACCTTTTACGTATATTGAAACGGTAAAACATCAAACCGTTCATAAGATTCATGAATCTGGCCCGCCAGTTTTTTTTCAAAACCGCGTAGACTCGGACCAGAAAAATACAAGCTAGCACGTGCTGAATTTCAGCACATGTTGGACTTGGGCATAATTCGCCCTTCATCAAGCCCTTTCGCATTTCCACTCCACATGGTCCCTAAGGCGCAAGAGGGGGCGTGGAGGCCCTGCGGAGGCTATAGACACCTTAATACGCAGACAATTCCTGATAAAATATTCTGTGCCCAACTTAGTCGATTTCGCAATTTCTTTGCAAGGAGCTAAAATTTTCACATAAATAGACCTATGAAAATCTTTTTATCAAATTCCGGTGGCCACTGAAGACATGCACAAACCAGCCAGCACAACCCCTTTCGGTCTATACGAATTTCTTCGAATGCCTTTTGGCCCTCGAAACGCTGTACAGTCATTCCAACGTCTAATCGACGAAGCACTCCGTGGTTTATCGCACTCGTTCGCGTACATTGACGACCTCCTTGTAGAAAGCGCTAACATGAATGACCACATGCGTCACGTCACTCAAGTTTTCCAACGTTTGAAACATTTCGGTTTAAAAATCAACCCGGACAAATGTGTGTTTGCTGTACCTAGACTGAATTTCATCAGATACGAAATTGACGTTTCTGGCCTTACACCTGTCCCGGAGAAGGTTGCTGCTATACGAGAGTTTCCTCAACCTACGACACTCCGGCAACTTCGACGTTATCTCGGCTTAATAAATTACTATCGCCAGTTCATTCCGAACTGTTCTCACATTCTGGCACCTCTTACCAACTTACTTCGTGGCCAGGGGAAGAGAAACGCGAAGATCACACTATCGGACGAAGCTCTTGCTGCTTTCATCAATTCTAGGAATGCACTAGCGAATTTTGCCAAACTAAGTTATCTACGTGACGACAATAGAGCACATCTTTCGCTCACTACTGATGTCTCATCAGAGGCAATTGGAGCTGTTCTACACCAGCACACGGAAAAAGAAACCACACCAATTTCCTTTTTCTCAGTTAAACTCAACTCCCAAAAAAGTATAGCACCTTTTCGCGTGAGTTACTTGCTTTTTATCTCTCAATTAAACATTTCCGACATATATTGGAAGGTCGGAATTTCACCGTATTCACTGATCATAAACCTCTAGTCTATGCCCTTCATACCAAATCAGACACGTATAATCCGCGTGATTACAGGCAGTTAGACTTTATTTCGCAGTTTACTACCGATATACACCACGTCAAAGGCAGCGACAACACCGTCGCCGACACATATATCAAGAGCATTCTTACTTAGCACCACTAAGGAGAAACTTAATCTTGATTTTCTTGCAGACGAGTAGAAAAGGGACACTACTCTGTTTGACTCATTGAAAAATTTGTCGTTATCGATCGAGCAACGTCCCATTCCTTTCCGTACCAAGTTAATCGCTTGCGACGTCAGCACTTCTCACTCCGGACCTCTCGTACCCGTCAGCATGAGAAGACGAATTTTCGACCATTTCCACTCCTTCTAACACCCAGGACGGAAAGTTACAGCAAAACTAATTTGCGAACGTTTTGTCTGGCCGAAAATGAACATCGATATCAAGAATTGGACTCAATGTTGTCTCGTTTGCCAACGTACAAAAGTGCATCGCCATACTAAATCTCTGGAAACTTCACCGTACCTGACGGCCGTTTCCGTCAGCTGCATGTCGATTTAGTGGGTCCGTTACCGGAAGTTCACGGATACCAGTACATCCTTACTGTCATAGACAGATTTTCAAGATGGCCTATCGCAATTCCACTACAGTCAATAACCGCAGAATCTGTTGCTAAGGCAATACTGAAAGACTGGATTTCGTTTTTTGGATGCCCATCAGTAATAACAACAGATTGCAGTCCCCAGTTTCATGCAACACTTTTCAAAGAATTTGTGAATCATCTCGGAGCGAGACATATCTCTACTACAGCATATCACCCCTGTGCTAATGGCCTAGTTGAACGTTTACACCGTCAATTAAAAGCCGCGTTAACTAGCTCCAACGGTGACAATAATCAATCCTGGATGGATAATTTATCTCTAGTCATGCTTTCGCTTCGGTCTCAATTGAAAGAAGACTTACAGTGTTCGCCTGCTGACCTTGTTTTTGGCCAACCATTAGTGTTGCCAGGACAATTTCTGTCCGGAAACTCAAACTCACAACCTCCCTCAACCTTTGTTTAATACCTACAGGATAGAATGTCTACCTTGGAATTTACACCCACTCGTTTCCAGACTAAAGACATTTATGTTCCTATCTTTTTAAATAAGTGTGATTTTGTGTTCATACGACAAGATTCTGTCAATAAGCCATTGACATCCAGCTACTCAGGTTCGTTTCGAGTCCTTGCTCGACATGACAAATTCTACACTATTCAGCTCACCAGTGGTCGATCGAACGTTTCGATTGATCGCATCAAGCCAGCATACATTGAGCGGAATATTAAACCAACCCAAACATCGTCATTACCAGCACCACCGAGTAGTACGCAACAAACATCTGAGACACCTGAACACCAAATTACCCAAAAAAGAAGCAGGGTCCACTGGTCTTCAAAATTCAAACATTATGTGACGTATTAAAAAAAATGCTTTCAACACTTTTTTTTAACTGTAGGGGGCGGTGTTGTAGCGACTGCTACGTTTTTCCACGCCCACAATTTATTCGTCTGTGATTGGCTCGTAAATCAATACTGCTTTTCTATAAGACAATTTAGCAATCGCAGTCATCACTTTGAATTTTTCGGTCGTGAACTTGCTCACATGTTTCTTTGATACAAAATCAGTAATTGGTCAAATTTTAACCAATCAAACATTTTAATACTAAATCTATTTTTCCCGCGTTTTCGTTCGGAGCCTACCGGTACCTTTAAAAGAAGCAATTTTACCACAAGCCGCCAGTAGAATCCAGCTATTTTCGCCTGTCCACACAAATCTACGACTTTACTCACTATATTTCAAACGCACACACAGACACAGATTTTTGTAACACATTATACATATCTCTCTCTGTGACTCAGCCAAGTTCATGAACCAGAACTCTATTAATTTCTCTAAACAACACATTTCTTAATTAACTGTATTCTATTCTAACAGCAAACTCTATTCAACATAGAATCCTGATCATTCTTATTCAAGAGAAACTCTTTCGATCATTCAATCATAAATCAGGATACAGTTGAAGGGGAACAACTTTTTTTTCTTAATCGTTACATTTCATTGCTTGATTGTTTTGTATGTTATATTTCAATATATATTTATTTGTTGAACAACAAGGGGAGTTTCATTGTTTTTCTTGAATCGTTAAATGTACAATAGATATATGCACTAAAAACACGCATCACAATAGTATTAATCAAAATAGGCATTATTTGCTTAGTATTTTAGTATATTAAGTAAAGACTATTTCTTTTTCTTGTCTTATTCCGTCTATAACTATTTTTAAAGAATTTTCTGAAGTCGTAGTTCACATACTTCTTGGATGATGTGTTGTTCTGTCAGATCAGACTCGGAAGGCAAATCAAATACTTAAGTAGCACCAATTATTTTTTGTGAAGAATTTCAGAAATCTACTTTTAATAAAATATATTGTATTTTTTTTGATTCAACAAGAAAAATCTCTGATATTCGTTTTTGACAAACTGACATGGATTTTTACGATTTTCAAACTCTTTCCTATCATTGTAGTTATTGATAAATTTGATATAAAATAAAAAAATTGTTTGACGATCGAAAAATGTAAAAAAAAAGTCTAGTGCCATTTTCGACTGTGAATATTTGTTTAAATGATTTTATTTTTTTCATTTTACAACTGTTTTTTTTTTTACTTAGAAGAACGGAAGATGAAAAATGAAAATGAAAAACAAATTTCTGAATCATATCCCGTGACTAAAAGAAAAAAAAGAAAAGAAAAAAAAAAGAAAAGAACCCAAAATGATCTTTTCAAGGTCAACAAAGAACATTGAACTTTTTGCCTAAACTACTCATTTTGATTAGTATTTTTGTTTGTTTAATAAATTTTTAGTGTCTTTATATTTTTTATGGTGGAAAGACAATAATAATAATAATAATAATAAAGGAATCACTTGAATACCGTGGAATAAGTTAAGGGTTTGTAACTGCCCTGAAAAATAATTCCACAATTTTTTTTTATTAGAATAACCATTTAAAAAAATCATTAGTGACTATATAAGAAATAAACCGTATTTCTAATTTAAGAAATTTATTTAAGAAAAAATACGTTGAAAACAGTTCGAAATTTTACTTTTGTGTAAATTAGAGTTTCTTTTTAAATTGTGAATAAATGTTCTTTTTATTGCAAAAGAAATTTATTTTTAGTAACGGTTTGTCGGAGTTAGCTCCTCCTTAATTCCCTAATTGTCACTAGGGGTCGCTCTCCCTACATTATAAATACTGGGCGACTTCTCGTTCTCTTTTCCACTTTGCACTTTAAAAATGTGATCTCTCGTAAAGATAGCGTTTCCCCACTTGTGGGAAGACGCCATGAACATTACACACATATACACATACGTACTAACATTCACCAAAATACAAACTCTTTACGGTCACACACAAACAGAAAAGTTGATGTCTTTGTCACTTGTAAATTTGTTGTTTAATACATATATTTGTTGACATATACATATCGGTCTTGTTTGTCTTCTTTACATCTTCGGTTGGACCCAACTTGAGTCCACCATTTTCTTGTAGTTGGACCTTCTAGCAGGAAATAAACAGCTCGTGTTTCTAATTCAACAACACGCAAACCCAAATGGGTCCTCTACAGGTTATTTGCTGTTAATTATCTGATCATTTAATCCTCTGATTGGTGTTTGGGGTAAATGCGCACGTCTTTAGACATAAAGGAGTGGGGGTCCCGTGAAAATTCTCCGTCATTTTGAACGATGTATATATTTTATTTTGAAACGGAAGAAATTTTTTGAAAACTAAGAACTTGAAACAAGTTCGGAGTTAAAAACCATCTCATTATTTATACCATTGAGTGGTAATAAGAATTAATTTTTATATTCGGAATTTATTTAGTCTGAGACTGAATAAAAATGTCGCTTCTTATTTCGTAGCTTTTCCATGGGAGAAAGAGACATATTTTATGTGAAGTTGATTTGAAGAAATTTTTCACTCCTTGAAGTTGGTATATGTTGCTGACATCAATTCAAGATTTTAAACCTAGCTATAAATGCTTGAAATTCCACAAAGAACAACATTAAAGATATGTTTTTCCTTTCGAAACAACATAGAAAATATCCTGCGTCCAAATGAGAAGTATACAGAAAATGGCTACCTCCGAGCTGGTCCAGTTGAAAGTGAAGGAGACACTAGAGAGAAGACAACATCATCAGTAAATTAGGCCAACATCCACAGAGTCGCACAATATTGCGAAGGGAATTACCTTCAGTAAAGAAGTTTGAACACCTTTTATTCTTCAGGTATCCGGAGAAAAAATTAAAAATTGTGTATTTTTTCTTCTTTGAAAGAACTAAAATATGAACTTTATTCATTTTCTTTGTGTTCATTTGAACTGTGAACTCTAAAAAAAAAAAAAAAAAAAAAATTACGCAAGTAAATATCGACGTTGTGGCTTGTGAAAAAAAAAGTTGAGTATTTAATTTCCTTAAAAAAAAGAAGTAAATGAACATTTAAAAAAATTTCATATTTTTTTTTATTTTCTTTTTCTTTAAATTGCTTATGGATTTGTATGCATTCCACGATGATTTATTTTTAATAAAATTTGTGGAATTCTGATTATTTGTTCTTTTTGCCTTTTACTTAACTTTTTTTTTTCATTGGAACGTAAATCAATGTCACTTTTCTGTTCTTTGCTCAGCAGCCTATACACAGCAAGGGCGCCGCCTTTCAAACGCAGTGGAAGAATCCGTTCAATCTTCGTGATCTCTGATAATTCGCAGACCAGTTTCACATTTTCGATCCTTTCAACCACAGACTGTCCACTCGTATCACCACTGAATTCGGGGATCATATTTATGTCAAACGGTTTTCCGCCATCTTGCTAGAGACAAAGCAAGTGCCGAAATAACTTGTAGTTGTAAAGAAAAGAAAAAGAAAAAAATGTTAGCTTATAGTAGCAACAGACGTCTGCAATAGATTTCTTTTGTCTCTCGACCACAACACTTATAGCCAAATCACAGTTCAAACGATAGTCCGTCGTAACAGTCCAACAGGCAACATAGAAACGACAAAATGGGGTCACACATCCAACCGCCACTTTTTACCAGTAAAAACGCGTGTTCGTCCACCAAGCTCAGAAAATCTAATCCCCACATTTTCTGTGAACCAAATATTTATAAGACTTTTCTAAAGTACAGACTTTTTGGTAAACCAACTATCCAAAGAGTTTAATTCAACTAAGGACTAACTAAAAACTCTTTTGAATTCATGTCCATATGTCGGAGTTAACTCGACTTTAATTTCGTAACTGTTCACTAGGTCACGCTTTCCCTACACTGTAAATACTGGGCAATTTCTTGCTTCGTTCTCTTTTTACTTTGCATTTCAGCGGACACATTTTAAAAAATGTGATCTCTTGCAGAGATATGCGTTTTTCCCACTTGTGGGAAAACGCCATGAAATACATATATACACACACGTACGTACGAACATTCACCAAAATACTTCTTTATGGTTGATTCAATCTCTGAGTCCGCCATGTTCTTGTAGTGGACGTTCTTCTAGCAGGAATAAACGCGCGTGTTCCTAATTTAACAACACGTAAACCCACGGTCCGCCACAGATTGGTGACCTTTCGACGTGATTTGTTTATTTATTTTTTTAACACCTGCTAACAGAAACACAAGACTGTATATATGTACAAACTCATATTTAAACACACTTTCCAAACGAGAGAGAGTCAGGAAAAACATTGAAAAACTCTTACTACGCACGCCGGACACTATCCCCCCCTCCACAAAAAAAAAAAAACATTTATAGAGCAACTAAATTTTGTGATTAGATCATATGAAAGTGCAAAATCACACAATTTTAATTCACTACAATATGTCTATACAAAACACATTTTTCCGGCGCGGCAAATAGAATTTTTCTACAACACGTGGGAAAACAGAGAAGCCTCAATCGCCATTACAACAACTACTACTACTAGGAGACGAGTCAGCAGGCAACAGTATAACGCTCCTTCACCCCACTTATCTATTTGCTTGACCCTTTCTTTCTCTTGGCGACGTTTGACCCAATTTCACCCGGCAGGCATGCTTACGGTCTTACTAAATGGAAAACGTAATGCCATTTTCAACTAATTAACACTTTTTTCTTCTGGACTGAAAGAGATAAAACGTGACACATCTCAAAAGGCGACTCACTGCCCTTTATCTTCATTCTGCAACTATGCAACTCGAACACACTAAGAATTTGCAAGTACAATATTCAGTCGACAATAATAGAACATTTTCTTAAGTTCTGAAACAACATTCGACACACTGCTTCTACTCATTTTCCAGAGAGTGCGACATCGCATCTCAAAAGGCGACTCACAGTCCTTTATCTTCATTCTGCAACGACCAACCTTGCCGTATACTATCGGTTGTAATTACTACGATCTCGACCAGCAATGCCTGCACCTCAACTTTCAACCGTCGACACGACCGGGACGAACGCACCTCAGCATCTCGTCGTCGACCTCAACTCCCAACCGTCAACGAGACCGGAACGTCCGCAAATCTTTCCAACCGTCGACACGACCGGAACGTCCGCATCTCAATCACACCGTCGACATGACCAGTCCAACCTTCGACACGAGCACATTTCGTCGGAACGTTTTAACACGCATCTCTACCGACACCTTTACTTTTCCGTTAACAAGGACAATATTCAAAACTTCCATGAACTTTTCATATATTCTACACTACGTGCGACATTTCACACCACTGCTTATCATCATTTCAACATTGCTTACCATGCCCGTAATGTACAAAAGTTTTCTACACTGAACAGATTAAGTGTGAAATATTCTTCGAACGACTCACTATCCAGAATTAAATTTACAAAATGTGATCTCTCGCAGAGATCTGCGTTTTGCCCACTTGTGGGAAAACGTCATGAAACACATACACATATACACGTACGTACGAACATTCAACAAAATACAATGTCTTTACGTTCACACATAAACACAAATGTTAATGTCTATGTCCATTGTAAATTTTGTTGTTTAATACATATACTTGTTTGAATATATATATATATATATATATATATATATATATATATATATATATTTATCGGTCTTGTTGGTTTTCTTTACACTTCTTTGTAGTGGATTCAATCTCTGAGTCTGCCATGTTCTTGTAGTGGACGTTCTTCTAGCAGGAACAAACGCATATGTTCCTAATTTAACAACACGTAAACCCACGGTCCGCCACAGATTGGTGACCTTCCGACGTGATTTTTTTTAACACTTGCCAACAGAAACACAAGACTGTATATATGTACAAACTCATATTTACACACACTTTCCAAACGAGATCCAGTTCAATACATATACTTGTATATATATATATATATATATATATATATATATATATATATATATATATATCGGTCTTGTTGGGTTTTTTACACTTCTTTATGGTGGATTCAATTTCTGAGTCCGCCATGTTCTTGTAGTGGACGTTTTTCTAGCAGGAATAAACCCACATGTTCCTAATTTAATAACACGTAAACCCACGGTCCGCCACACATGTTTCTAAATACGAATGATTTATTTAACGGATATTCGTGTATTTTCTTTATTTTTAATTTATTATTCTATGGAATTCAGATATTCGGATATTTAATCTAAAAGGCCTGGACGACTGAATTTTTTACAAATAAATCCTGATTAAAATCGAATTTTTTCTTTTTCTTTTTAAATATATTAAAGTGTGTATGATGTTTGCAGGTATGATAAGCAGAACCTGAGCCAAAGCTTAAAGAATCTCGGATTCATTCATGTTTAGGTGACACCAGCGACACAAACATGAGAGACAGGATTCAAAGAAAAGGAATTGGAAAATTCAATGGCAAATAGGTTTCGTTTGCGCAAAAGTACAATGGCGAAGGATTTTAGTTTTCAATTGCCTTCCTTCCTTCCTTCCTTCCTTCCTTCCTTCGTGCCTCCCTCACATCTTTCCTTCGTTCCTCCTATTCCTGCCTTACCCCTTCCTTCATTTCTTTGTCACTCCTATCTTCCCTGCGTTCCCACGTTCCTCCTATTCCATCCTTACCTCTTCCTTCTTTCCTTCGTCCTTCTCACCCTCATTTCACTCGTTCCTCCTATCGCTTCCTTAACAATTCTTTTTTACCTTCGTCCCACCCACACCTTCCCTTCGTTCCTCCTACCCCTTCCTTTCCTCTTCCTTCTTTTCTTCGTCCCTCCCTGCCTTTTTTTCCTTCGTTCCTCCTACCCCTTCCTTTCCTCTTCCTTCTTTTCTTCGTCCCTCCCTGCCTTTTTTTCCTTCGTTCCTCCTACCCTTCCTTTCCTCTTCCTTCTTTTCTTCGTCCCTCCCTGCCTTTTTTTCCTTCGTTCCTCCTACCCCTTCCTTTCCTCTTCCTTCTTTTCTTCGTCCCTCCCTGCCTTTTTTTCCTTCGTTCCTCCTACCCTTCCTTTCCTCTTCCTTCCTTTCCTCGTCCCTCCCTGCCTTTTTTCCTTCGTTCCTCCTACCCCTTCCTTACCTCTTCCTTCTTTTGCTCGTCCCTCCCTGCCTTTTTTTCCTTCGTTCCTCCTATCCCTTCCTTACTTCTTCCTTCTTTTCTTCGTCCCTCCCTGCCTTTTTTTCCTTCGTTCCTCCTACCCCTTCCTTTCCTCTTCCTTCTTTTCTTCGTCCCTCCCTGCCTTTTTTTTTCTTCGTTCCTCCTAGCCCTTCCTTTCCTCTTCCTTCTTTTTTCTTCGTCCCTCCCTGCCTTTTTTTTTTTTTCTTCGTTCCTCCTACCCCTTCCTTACTTCTTCCTTCTTTTCCTCGTCCCTCCCTGCCTTTTTTTCCTTCGTTCCTCCTACCCCTTCCTTACCTCTTCCTTCTTTTCTTCGACCCTCCCTGCCTTTTTTCCTTCGTTCCTCCTACCCCTTCCTTACCTCTTCCTTCTTTTGCTCGTCCCTCCCTGCCTTTTTTTCCTTCGTTCCTCCTACCCCTTCCTTACCTCTTCCTTCATCTCTCCCACCTTTGCTCATTTCTTTGGTTCCTCCTATCGCTACTTTAGCTCTTCCGTCTTTCCTTCGTCCCTTCTTTCCTTCGTTCCTTCCTCCATCACATCTTCCGCCCTTTTCCTTCGTTCCTCCTACCCCTTCCTTGACTTTTCCTTCCTTCCTTCATCCTTCACTCCCACGTCCCTCCTTTTCTTCGGTCCTGCTATCACCTCCTTCTTCCTTCGTCCCTCCCACGTTCCCTCCTTCCCTTCGTTCATCCTACCCCTCCCTGACCTCTTCCTTCGTTCCTACCTCCCACCTTCTCTCCATTCCTTTGTTCTTTCTATTCCTTCCTTACCTCTTACACTTCGTCCCTCTCTTCCTCTTTTCCTTTGTTCCTCTTTATCCCTTACTTACCTTTTCTTACCTCTTCCTTGCATTCCTTTTCACTCTTTTCCTTCATTTTTAACCACTAAATAGTGATTTTATCCAATTTTAATTTGTTTGTAAATCTTCATTGTTACGAATTTGTTAAAGAGAAAGAAGACAGAAAGGTTGAAACAAATTTCAAAATCTTTCGTTAGTTCTCTTCTGTAATGTCTTTAGCTCAAATTATACGCTACAGACACCCTCGGAGTCTGATAAATGATCTTATCAAATGATTCGTTAATTATTACCTGAAAGATATAGATAATAATTGATGAATCAGATAATATAGGCTATATCGTTGTTGAACCTTAAATAACTCAGATTTAAAGATTCATATGTAAAGAAATGCAGTAGTCAATGGGAGGTAACTACTACTGTACTGTACTGATGCGGCATTCACCCTGGGCGGATTGAGCCGGCTTCTTCCTGTTATGAGAAGAAGATTCTTGGGATAAATTACAGAAGTAGGGTACCCAGGCCTACTCGGATAACGTTCTTGCTTGCCGCGGGGTTCCCACAGACGCAGAGACAGGAACGACCAGAAGCCTCCGGTTACCGATGCAGACGCTCCTTGGATTTTCACCAGAGCCCTTGTTAGCCGGCGTGTGTGTCAGACCTGTCCGCCTTGGTGGCCCTACCAGGAACGAAGTTCCGGGCGGCATAGCTCTGACACTACCGTTTACACCCCCCCACCGACTGTGAGGTAAGGGTTGGACTTTGGGGGCTTACAGTACCAGGTGTTCCCAAGCGGTCCCCCATCTAAGTACTGACCTGGCTCTACGCTGCTTAACTTCGGTGATCGTACAAGAACCGGTGTTTCAGCGTGATTTGACCGTAAGGGAGGTAACCGGGACATTTGTTCCATAATTTCAAAAATCTTAAAGATAGTATATTCGAACTTATCATCAGTTCAAATATATTTCTTTCTTTAAGATGATACTTATATCATTGGTTGGGGCCTTTTCTGAATCATTAAATTATTTTAAATTATTATTTAATTTAAATAGAAGCTAACTTTTTTTAGATATGTTCTACAACATTAGAAAATTAATTTTATCACAAATTATATATATATATATATATATATATATATATATATATATATATATATATATATATATATATATATATATATATATATATATATATATATATATATAATATATATACTTTCTTAATATGTATATATAGAAAAACAACTAAAAAGTTGCAATTTAAAAAATAATAATGTTTTTTAATGAAAGTATTTATATTTGATATTTCAGATCGACCTCGAGAAAAGAAGATCGAGGTCGATCTGAAATACCAAATATAAATAAATACTTTCATAAAAAACACTATTATTTTTTAATTTGCAACTTTTTAGTTTATTATATATATATATATATATAATTTTTTTTTAAAGAATTAATGAATTTATTTTTAATCCGATATTTTTATTGTTTCAAACGTTATTTTTAGAGGTTAAAATAAAGCTTTTAGGCATTTTTATGAAAATTTTTTTTTTTTGTTGAGTTTTATTGAATTATTTTTCTTAAGACTCGGGCCTAATTTTTCACTATGTTCATACTTGATATTGCATAAATATTTTACTTCAGGAATTTTTATTTATAATACTGTAATACAAATTTGACAAACTCGCCCAAACGGAATGAAAAGGTACTACACCCGACTTATCGAAAAGTGGGAAGTTAAAAAAGTAAAACAGACACCACAAAAAATATTTACAGACAATTTTCTAATAAAATAAACCGTTCAATATACAATTCACTCATTAATGAAAAATACTGAAAATTCCGTTTGAATTGGAAAATTCTCTGATTTTGGTAAATAAAAAGAGTATATATTTTTTTGCAGCTTTGCTTTTAATTTCAGGTGCCAAATAACAAAAGGGTTTCGTTCAGAAATTTAGAAAACTGAGTTATTTTTAATGTTCACAGAATAGTATTTTTGCTTTCCATGTCTCATTTAAAATGCTGTCTTTCCATTCCCGTTTATCTTCTATAAAATCTATTCTGTTGTTTAGCGAAGACAATTTATAAATAAGGCAATAACAAGCTGTGATTAGTCTAAGGGAGGCAACTCTTCATTTTTTTTTTCAAATCCGACGAATTATTTGAAATCTTAATGCTCTTTGGAGATGTGTAATGAACATCGAATTAGGCTGGTCGATGATGCATAGTTATTCCGTAAACCCCACCCTCTACCCCAACTAGGGTGCTCTGTACTTGTGACCTTTTTCCCAAATAGATCGTATTAAATAAATGACAATTGACAAATTAGATTAATTCTTTTCTTGAAGTAATTCCAGATTCTTTGAAAAATTTTTTACAATCAGAATTCAATGTAATATTTAAAAAAGTGCGAGTTTAAAATTTTTTAACTTTTAAATCAGTATTTATACACTTAAAAATTTTTTGATTCTGAACAAAAAAGACAATATTTTTTATGAAAAATCACAACATTGAATACTCATGATGACACTTCACCTATGATTTTTGGATCAGGAAATTTCAAACAATCCATTCCCAGGATTTCCTCATGTAGCATAAAATACTTATGTGAACCATAGCTATTATTTAACAAATTATTCTGGTTAGTAAATGCACTTTTGTTGCTTTGAGCATCCTGATTTTCTGAAGTGCATGGCGCATTAGAATATTTTAAGTTTTGTCAAAATTATTATTGAAAATTTTTGATATATTAAGAAAAAAGAAATTTTAATTTCTGTGGAGAATGTTGTCTTTTGAATTTAGTCTTTCTAAATCTGGTTTAATTCCAAAGATTCCCATTGAGTGGAGGGGAGGGTGGCAGGGAGAAAAGAAGGAAATGAAATTGGTTGACAAATGAAGATATATTGAGAAAATATGATTACATAATCATTCAAGTTTAAATCAAGATCATAACCAATGAAATATTTAAATGAGCATTTCACATTTCACATGCTCTCAGGATCATAAGTGGATACCTGAGTAGTAAGGTAACATATACCAATACCAGTAAAATATTAAATAATATTTTTCTGCAACTAATTAATACTTCATCATTGACAAACACATTCTTACTGATGTTCACTGCAACTTTACGTTAAAAAGATTAGGAATGGATATTGCCATGCGACCATTAAGGCTTGCTTTCATTCCAGATTCTTCCTCATTACCATGATGTTTGTGTATTAAAATCACTCGCAATGCATTTCTGTATACTATATGAAATACAGGGTTTTATTCCTGACGACTAACAATCCATATCTTCTTCATTTCGAATGCATCTGTATATTAAAATCATTCTCAATTATTATATTTAATGATTACATTAATTCTTGACCACTGAAAATTCCTTTCTTTTTCATCTCCAATTCATCTGTACATTAAAATCATTCACAAGGCATTTCTCTCTGTTATCAGTAATGCATACTTTTATTCTTGACCACTGACAATTCCTTTCTTCTTCATCTCCAATGCATCTTATATTAAAATCATTTGAAATGCATTTCTCTATACTATCTTTAATGCTTGCTTTTATTCCTGACCACTGACAATCCACTTTTTCCTCATCTATAATGCATCTGTGTATTAAAATCTTTAGCAATGCTTTTCTCTCTACTATCCGTAATGCATACTTGACCACTGATAATCCCATTCTTCTTCATCTCCAATGCATCCATACATTAAAATCATTCGCAATGCTTTTCTCTATACCGTCAGTTATACATAATTTTATTCTTGACCACTGACAATCCCTTTCTGACTCGTCTTCAATGCACCTGTATATTAAATCATTAGTAATATATCTCTCTATGCCCACTATTTACATTATTCGGACTATTGTCCTCATCTTTGTCGCCATATTTATTACAACGTTTCGGCCGTTGTACGCTCCAGCCTTCTTCAGGTGGTTGGAATGTCGAACTGAACCCTTTATTTCGCTCACTGGGGTAGACTGTTCTAGTTCCACATGCCATGTTTAATGGATGTCAGTTATCAGTTATCTCCTGTTAATTCTCCTCTCCAAGTTCTCCACTGCCTTAACCGGGTATTGAACTCACACTCTTTGGGTCCTGTCACTGGATACCCGGTGCATCTCTAATATTAACTTCATTAGCAATACATTTTTCTATTCTGTTAGTAGTCCTTTCTCTCTTTCCTGACCATTGACAATCCCTTTTTTTCTGGACTCTAATGCATTTGTATATTATAATTTTTAGCAAAGAATTTTTCTATTTTATTTTAATGCTTGCCCTCATTCCTGACCATTGATAATCCCCTTTTTCCTCAACATCTCTGCTTCTGCATATTAAATCATTTGCAATACATTTTTCCATGATATTAGTAATGCTTATACTTATTCTTGACGACTGACAAACAGTTTATTCCTCCTCCTCAATGCATGTGTATATTAAATTTGTTTGCAATGCATTTTCTGCTATAAATAATGAGATTTCATTTATTCTTGACAATTGACAATGTCTTTTGTTCTTATTTTCAATGTTTTCATGGATTTCACTATAAGTAATTCTTTTGTTCTTTCCTAATCTCAGATAATCTTTTTCTTACTGACGTTCCATGTAGCTGCACATTAAAATAATATCATTATCAATTCATTTACATTTTACATATTATATTTACTATGCCCTCTGCAATTCTTGTATTCATTGCTGACATTTTCACATTGGCTTTCTATACACAAGAAATTCATGAATTATTCCAAATTTATTTAATTTGCAAAAATTGATTAATTCTAAACTTTGGTAATTTTTGTTCATGTGAATGACTTTCAGTTTCTTGCAACAGAATCAAGATCCCCATGTGAGATCCGATTAATAGAAATACATTGACCAGAATCAAAATCCTCATGTGAGATTAATAGAAATTCTTGAACTATCAACAATATTCCCATGTTAGATTTCATAAAAATTCTTGCATCAGAATCAAGATCTCCATGTGAGATTAATAGAAATTCTTACACTATAAGCAAGATACCCATGTGAGAATTAATAGAAATTCTTGCACTAAAATCATGATCTTCATGTGACAGTTAATAGAAATTCT